TACTCATGAGTTTGGCAGACGATATTTCTACATATGTACTTGTATGTGCTATAAGAATGTTCACATAAATAGAACTAACAGGGGGCAAAGTCATGATAACTTCTTAGGCACCATCAACCACTCTGATGGAGCAAGCTGTTGGACCTGTGAGTTTGGGACAATGGTTGCAGGCGACATTGTGCTCAATTGGCATAACATACTGCACAAAAACATTGTTCTACATCTACTTTGGTGAGCAGCGACTGGTGTCTCAAAAGCTTGCAAGCAGCCATCTAGATGCAATAGTGGGTCTCTCCTCCTCCAGAGCAAATAAGAATGAAGAAAACCAAAGATGCATGGGAACAATTAGTCCAAGGGACTATTCAGCCTATATGACTATGAGACCAGAAGAACTAGATGGTGCCCAGCTACCACTGTCAACCACCCAGAAAGGGATCAGTGCAAGAGATCCTGGATAGAATGGGACAAAAATGTGGAACTAAACTCAGAATCATAAAAAAGGCCAGGCTTACTGGTCTGACAGAGCCTGGGGAAACCCTCAAGACTATCCTCCCTACTTATCCCTCAGGCCTGGAATTGAACTCACTCCCACAGCTTCCAGCTAAACAATAGAGAGGCGTATAAGGTGAACATTTACACTACGTAGGTACACTCCTTAGAACAGTCAACTATGGGAGACTAGAAGGGCAGTATTTGCACAGGGAGATAGCTCTGAGGGCAGGAATGCATAGGAAAGAAGGACACAGGGAAAAGGTAACCACAGGGAGGAAGTGGGAAAAGAGTTGTTACATTACAGGGATTACAATCAATATCATGGAACAAAACATATATGAACTTCTGTATGGAAAATGAATTTGCTCTGTAAACTTTCACTCAAATCACAATTGGAAAAAAAGCTATTAGAAAGATTAATAAAAATATATAAACAGAAAATAATACCCAATAATATTATCACCTATGTAGACACACAAAAGCTTGTTAAAATTCAATATCCATTCAAGATGAAAGTTAAATTATGAGAAAACTGAAAAAAAAATCTTTACAAAAGTAGATTGCCTCATCTTCCTCCCACGAAACAGCTGGTGGGTTTCAACTGTCAACCTCTGGTTAGCAGTCAATGCCTTAGGCACTACGCCACCAGAGTTCCTTATGGGCAATCTAGAGGGGCAAAAATTACCTTCTGCAGGGTCCATGTAAGGAATTTTGGTGGTGTAGTCATTAAAGCATTTGGCTGCTAACCAAAAATGTCAGTGGTTCAAACCTACCAGCTTCTCCACAGAATATGAAGCAGTCTGCTTCCGTAAAGATTTACAGCCTTAGAAGCCCAACAGGGGTCTCTATGAGTCAGAATCAACTCAAAGGTAGTGAGTTTGGTTTGCAGGGTCAATATGGAATACAGAAAGGTCCGGTTCCTAGTTCTGGCTTAAGTATCTTAAGTGTGACCTAAGCCAGTCCTTTAACCTCGTATACTTCAGTTTCCAGTCTTGTAATCTGAGAACAATCTTCTGGAAAATATCTAAGTTTCCCTCCAGTCCTAAAACTCTGTGGCTTTAAGTGTAATTTCATATTATCATTTTATAAGTGATTTTAGGTTTTGGTTAGCTAGTTTAATGACATTGTTAGTCAAACCAACGATTTAATTGACCTGAGTCCTTTGTTGGAAATTTAGCCCTGGAGAAAGATGAGGCAGTCTGCTTCCATAAAGATTTACAGCTTTGGAAACCCTATGGGGCAGTCCTGCTCTGCCCTATAAAGTCACTATGAGTGGGAATCCACTCAATGGCATGCATTTAGTTTGCATTTATATAATTTCTGTGGGAAAATATGAGCTGCTCTTCAACTACTGTCCTGGACCTACCTATTGTATTTTATAATCTGCAGCCTATCAGTCAATAAATGCGTGTAGTTGGTCTGCCCATGCCCATACATAGTTCAGGGGAAAGCCAAAAAAGTCTCTTTACATAGCCTTTATTGACCAAAATTAACCCTGAGATGACTTCAACAGTGCCTCAAGCACACCACCAGGTGAGTGACATAAGAACACTTTGAGTGTGGAGACAGCAACACATGTGGAGGTATGTGAGCAAAATACATAAGCAAGGTATTGCTTGTTACTGTGTGGACTGCCAAACTGGAAGAAAGTCTGTGGGATGGTGTGTGAGAGTATCAGAGACGTGATAACAAGTTACCTTGCCAACTATTACCTCTACTCGTAGATTAGCAGGCTCAGGGGTGGGATGGGGCAGGATATGCTGCATGAAGTGTATAAAGCAGCTCTTTCTAGGAATGGGAATGCTACATAGCAGCAGAGTTTCCTTGGGGAACACACAAATCTTCAGTAATCTATAAGGCGGACATTAAGTTCCAGATTTAGTTCTTTCAGTACAAACTGGTTAAAGGGCTTGAGAGACATACCACACTGAACTCAAGGTTATTACAGAGAAGGGAGAGTTCTGAGATAATTAAGAAGAGGTAGTCCCAGCAGAAGTAAAAGGTTCCAAGGTGACAGAGGAGAGATAGAATCACAGTCCTCTTGGCAGCCCTGCCCACCTAGTGAGGGCAGAAAGGCAAACGCAGCCACGATGGCTCCAGTCTCAGCAGTGCTCATATCCCTTGACATCTGTTCCAGTTTTGCCCGATTCTTGAACATTGGATTTCCTATTTTTGACCTTGACACCTGCCTTGGTTTTCTCAATCTTTTTCCTTGGCATTTTCTAAGGACCTTAATTCAGATGCAAGTCTAGCTCTGGATCCCAGGACTCAAACCATCACCACTTTGCTAATGCCTTATATAGACCTAGAGCTCTGGTGGCAACGTGGTTAAAACATTTGATGGCTAACCAAGAGGTCAGTGGTTCAAACCCACCACCCACTCTGAAGGAGTAAGATGAGGCAATCTGCTTCTACTCTGTCCTATAAGGTCACTAAGAGTCAGAATCAACTTGATGGCAATGGATTCAGGTGTTTCAGTTTTATATCGATCTTTTCTGGCCAAGCTGAACTCCCATCTCTACTGGGGACAATTTGTTACACAATTCAAAACACCTGTGAAGTCACCAACCTAAGGGTGACTTCTATGGGTGGGATGTGTATGTGTGTGAGGAAGAGGCACATGATATCTCTGGAATCCCTATTTAGATTCCAAATGGTGGTCCAAACCAAAAAACAAACCCCTGCCATGGAGTTGATTCGGGCTCTTAGTGACTCTATAGGGCAGAGTAGAACTTCCCAATAGGGTTTCCAAGGCTATATATCTTAATGGAAGCAGAGTGCCTTGTCTTTCTCTCATAGAGCAGCTAGTGAGTTCAAATGCCCAATCTTTCAGTTAGCAGACAAATGCCCTAACCACTGCACCACCAGAGCTCGTTAATGGTGGTCCAGGGTGCCTGAAATCTAAATATTAGTGTTATGTGATAGGAGCAATGAAAACAAAAGGCTTTTGTGGACTGGCATGAGAACCAAACTCCAAAGAACAAACTTATAATTTTTTTGGAATATATTCATAATTTGGGGGCTGTCTCTAGAATGTACATTATGTGACAAAACCTCTGTATAATAGAACTAAGGTGCTGATACAGCATCAGCTATTTCCTAAAACAAACCCTCACCTTTCAAAATCAATATTTTCTCCCTGAGAAAATGTCTTAACATTTTTGCTGCTGCTCCTGAGGTCCCAGTTACTTGGTCCTATTCAAACAGCCCTAAAGGCTAAGTAGTTTACTCTAGGCTAAAAACATACCACCAGCCACTTCACCTGAAATTTCCACCTATTCAGCTAAGCAGGTGCAACGTTAAGCAAGCATTATCTTGGTGAAGTCTAAACTTCAAGAAATATTTAAACAGTTAGCAGTGGTCTCAGTGCTGACTTAGGATCAGGCAAACTATTTATTGAATACAGGATATTTGCAACAAATAGGACACATTTAAATTGCACAGAGGAAAATGCCATCACAAAGTGGTTTAGGCTATAAAAAGGCAGGGAAACATCGTTTCTGTCAGGAACCTATTATAGTACCTTATCTCCTTATTAACAAAAACACATAATAGGAGTATCATCCAGCCTTCTGACATTAGCACTGCAGAGTGGCTTAAAACAGGCCAACACAGGCCTTTTTCAGACAACTAACCAAGTTCCTATTTCCTGAATGCCTACAGTAGAGGGAAAACAAAAACTAGTTGCCATTCATTTGACCCCAACTCATGGAACCCCATGTGTGTCAGGGTAGGACTGGGCTCCACAGGGTTTTCAGTGGCTGAGTTTTCAGAAGTGGATTGCCAGATCTTTCTTTCAAGTGCTGCTGGGCAGATCTGAACCTTCAATCTTTTGGTTAGCAATCAAGTGCATTAACTATTTGTACCACCCACGGACTCTATAGTAGAGGAAATACAGTCATGAAAAGGCACATGTATCTTTTGAATAACACACAATTCAATTATCTTGTTATTCAAGTAATTCAGGATCCCCAGTAATTTCATCATGTGTACTATCAGTACAGTGCATAAAGTCTTTTTGTGCAATACAATGAACATAAATAAGCTATATGTAAAAAGAGCACACACAGCAACACCAGCACTTGTACATTCACAATTCATTTTCACACCTGTTATCTAAGACCAAGAAGTTTGGGAATCAGAATTGAATTCAAATAGTAGCGGTCACGATAAGGAAATGTGACCTTGGAGAAGTCACTTAAACTCTCTGGGCCTCAGTTTTCTCATCTTCAAAAAAGGGGGTTAATAATAGGAACCACCTCACTGGATAGTTGTAAGGATTAAATGACTTAATGTTTGTAAATCTCTTAGCATAGGGTATACACATTCAAGAAATAGTAATAGATTTAATTATTGTCATTTAATAATTGCCACAACTTCTGCAACTTTGGCAGGCAGTTACAATTTTCCCTCTCGGATAGATGAGATTAAGTGACTTATCCAGGGCTAAACAATTCATTAGTGGCAGTACGAGGGCTTCTGATCCCAGGCGCCAGTCACCTCATCCATCACCCACAGTCAGCCTTAAAGACTTTTACAGAATGGGCAGCAGTGTCCAACACAAGTAAGGAGTTATCCTTGGTATAGGTCAGGGCCACAGGATAGGAGAGACCTTGAGTGATGAGGGGCTTCAGTCCTGGAAATTCCTCAGGCTTTCCTAAGCATAGAACAGCTTGACTAGAGGTATCGGTAACAGTCACATTTCCCTGGTGATCAAAGGTCACAGCAGAGGCGGTTATTTTAGAAGGAAAGAAGAGGCTCAGCCCAAAGGAATCCACCTGGCCGATGATCTGCATACTTGAGCTAAATACCTTCACCCTGGTGCTGCATGTGTGGGTCGCCCCCAGAGTCCGGGGGTGCTCTAGGATCGCAATGGCCCCCGTTTGGGACGACACGGCCACCCCTCGGGGACTGCACAGATGAGCGTACATCCTCTCAGCTCTCCGAAGGATCCCTTCCGGAAAATCGACGTCCAGGAGGTGTAGGGATCCTGCCTCAGCATCAGTCACCACGACCTCATTTTGGGGCGTGGTATCCACACCCCAAGGTAGGGAGAACTGGCCCCCAATGACGAGCTTGATATTGCCAAAAAAATCAAATACTTTGATGGAGCGGTCACCTGCGTCGCTGACAACCACATGGCAGTCGTTGGTGACGGTGACATCGAGTGGGTACCTAATGTCTTGGACAGCCTCCCCTTTCTCTCCAAACTGATGTGCGTATTCTCCCCCGGAGTCAAAGACCTTGACCCGCCTCTTCCCATCGTGCACTACCACGACCCGCCCTGTCTTGGGACACAGTGCCAGCCCGGTGGGGTTGACGAGAGTCCCCCAGCCGCCGAAGGCATGCTGGCAGGTGAGGGTCCCGGGGGCGCTAGGAACAACGCAGGGGACAGCTGAAGCTGGGCGAAGAGCAGGGCCCAAGAGCTCCAGAAAGTGCAGCACGGGCAGGCAGTCGCTGGTGTCGCAGCCCCGGCAGGCTCGTCGGCAAAAGGGGCACTCGAGGGCCAGAGTCCGCGGGTGTGCCAGGGCTGCCACGCAGGCCAGGCAAACCACGTGGCCACAGGGCAGGTTGCGCGGGCGCCGCTGCTGGCTGTGGCCGAACCTCTCAAAGCACACCTTGCACTCGAGGAGGCTAGTCTCGGCCTCGCGCAAGAGCTCCCGCAGCGCCGGCCCGCTCCCGCGCCCACTCCCAGAGGCCTCCGCACCCATCGCGCGGTCCCGGGAGCCGCCTGCTGTTTTCCCCGCAAGGCCGGACGCTGCCCCCACGCCGCCCTCTGTCATCGTCACGAGGTGGAGCGCCTGGGCTGACGTCAAGCGTGGCTGGCAGATTGACCTCCGCCTGCTGTCCCCTGGTGGACGCACGCGGCAGCTGTTTCCTGAATGCCTGCTAGTGGGATGATTTACAAGATGTATTCACACGCCCGTAATTGTTATATTTGGATTATCTCCATTTTATAGATGAGGAAATAGACCTACTGAGGACAAGTGAGTTGCACCCCATCACCCAGCCTTTAAGTTGTTAAGCAAGATCTATATCCCAGTCTTCCAACCTTTGTTGCCCAGCAATCTTTTCAGTTCTCAGTGCTGGTTGCTGGATGTTAGCGCTGGTGAGGCCTAAGACGTAGTCTATTAATTCATGATGCTTGTGATCTCATTGGAAAAACAGACTGTGGAGAGAGCGAGGCAGGTGTGCATACCTCTTTTGTGTCTCCTATCACAATTTTAGTTAGGTAGATGCTTAATGAACACTTGTAAAATAAACCCATATGTGAAAGAAGGAATGTTATAGGACAATATAAGAATACTAGGTGAGTGAGTGTCTGATAGAGGAACAATGGCTGAGCATGTCTCCCAGAGGAATTATATGAAATACAAAAAGTTAATAATAATTGGTATAAAATTTACTGCCCTGTTTTAAATGGTTTACATAGATTATCTTATTTAAAATTCAAGACAGCCCTCTGAGGGTACTAATATTTTCATTACAGAATAATTTTGATGGTAATAAAATAGCTAAGTGCTTTACAATGTACCAGGCATTGCATCAGGCACTTCACATCATTTCATTTAAAATGTTAAACCATCATATGAATCCCTAGGAGTCCCTGGGTGGTGCATATGGTTAAGGGGCTCAGCTACTTACTGAAACGTTGGAAGTATGAATCTATCCAGAGGTGCCTCAGAAGAAAGGCCTGGTGATCTATTTCTGACAATCAGCCATTGAAAACTATATGGAGCACAGTTCTACTCTGACATACATGGGATCACCATGTGACTTGGACAACAACTGGTTGGTTTTTTATGAATCCTGAAAGTCAAACCTCAGTGTACCTGTCACATTATGGTCTCTTTTTAATGTACCCTGTGCATAGGATCCTGCTAATGATGGAGTTCTAGGTGGTTCCTTATCCCTAAATTGTGGCCATGTTTTGAACTCATGACCCTGCCACTGTAGCCACAGCTGTATGACCAGACAGAGCAGCAAAACAAGTACAGCCAGTGGCCTCTGAAGAAGTCCACCAGAAGTCTCGCCTAAACAGGAACCATGATGATTCCCCCAGGAATTTAAATTGGAGATTATAGTGGTGAGAGGGATGAAAGACTGAAAGACTCAGAGAACAGACAATTCTCAGATGCTGTGTGTAGATGCCATGGAGAGAAGAAATACAGGGATGGGGGAGGTAGCCAGTTGGTGTGGAAGGCACCATGCAAACAGAGGCGAGAGTTACCAAGATGGCAACTTGCTTCATAGAGGTCACTCTGGCAGCTTTCAGCTCTTCATCCACATTCCACTTCGTGAGGCCTGGCTGTACTCCATGGAACCAGGCCCCACAATCCACAAACAAGTCTGTCTGACTCCAAAGATGGTACGCTTAGCTATTACCCTATTTTGCTTCCCTACCAAGGAGGGGTCGCTATGAGTCGGGTTTGACTCGATGGCATGTAACAACAACAACAACAACAACAGAATAGTAACCAATGCTACCAATTATTATACTAAGGGATTCACATACATTATCTCATTTAATCATCACGAGTTGGAATCCACTCGACGGCACAAAACCACCACCACAATATTATAAAACAATATTCTTACTTTATAGATACGGAAATTGAAGTCCAGAGGTTAAGTAAAAAGCTTCTATATGACAGAGTTTAAACTTAAAAACAAAACAAAACAAAAAACATGTCTTTCTGACTCTGAGTCCTGTGCTCCTTTTTTGGGGTACTATGTCTTTTATAAGAAGCCCTGGTGGTACAGTGGTTAAGCACTCAGCTGCTAACCAAGAGTTCAGTTGTTTGAATCCACTGTCCACTCTGTGGGAGAAAGATATGGCAGTCTGCTCCTTACAGCCTTGGAAACCCTATGAGGCAGTCCTACTCTGTCCTACAGGGTCACTATGAATTGGAGTTGACTTGACAGCAGAGGGTTTTTTTTTCTTTCATTTTATGTCTTTTTAAATTTCTTATTAATTTATAATTTACATGCAGTGAAAACCATTCTCTTTGGTGTATAATGCTATGAAATTTGACAGATGCATAAAGTCATATAATCAGCACTACATTCAAAATGTAAAATAGTTCCATCGCCCCCCTAAAATTCCTTCAGTGCATCTAACAACAACAACTCTTTGGTAGTCAACCTCTCCCCTTGTGCTCTTTTAAAATATACTTTTTATCCTATGAAACTTTTTTATTACGGAAAATGTCAAACATGTTAAAAAATAGAACAGTGTAATGAAACCCTGCTCCTATCACCTAATTTCAAGGATTGCCAATCTTGTTTCATGAGTACCCCAGCCCATCCCCCTCCCCCTGGTTTATTTTAAAGCAACCCCCCACACATACACACAGAATATCATTTCATCCTTAAAACTTTCTGTATGAATTGCTAACAGAGGCTTTTAAAAAAGGTAATCAGAGCATTATTATCACACTGAACAAAATGAGGAATAATTCCTTACTATAACCTAATATCTTGCCAATGTTCAAATTTCCTCAATTGTCCAGGAAATGTCTTTTTAGAGTTCGTTTGTTTAGCTCAGGATCTTAACCAGGTTTATACACTGCATTGTGTTAATGCTTATTGCCATCAATTTAATACCAACTTATAGCGACCCTTTAGGGCAGAGCAGAAACCCCCCGAAGGGTTTCCAAGTCTGAAATCTTTATGGAAGCAGACTGCTTCATCTTTCTCCCATGGAGCAGCTGCTGAGTTCAAACAGCCAGCCTATAGGTTAATAGCTTAGTGCTTAAACACTGTACCACCAGGGCTCCTTATTTGGTTAATACCAAACTAAAAATCAAACCCACTGCCATTGAGTCAATTTGGACTCATAGCACCTCCATTGGGTTTCCAAGGCTTTACATCTTAATGGAAGTAAATTGCCTCATTTTCCTCCTGTGGAGCAATTGGTGGTTTTGAACCACTGACCTTCTGGTTAGCAACTAAATGCCTTACCCACTATGCCACCAGAGCTCCTTTATTTGACTAATAAACCAAAACAAACTCACTGCCATTTAGTCACTTTGGCACTGTGCCACCAGAACTCTTATTTGATTAATACCCAAAACAAACTCACTGCCATTGAGTCAGACCCGACTCATAGCGACCCCTCCTTGGGTTTCCGAGGCAGTATCACTACGGAAGTAGGATTGCCCAACCTTCCTTCCGAGGAGTGGCTGGTGGGTTTGAACCATCAGCCATCTTGGTCAGCAGGCAAGTGTCTTAGCCATTATGCTACCAGAGCTCCCATTTGGTTACTAGGACTCTTAATTTTTAACAATTCCCCCTCCTATTTTTTCTCTCTCTTTTTAAACTAGTGATTTATTTATTAAAGGAACTGCATTTTTTATTCTCTAGATTTCCCCACATTCTGGATTTAGCTACTGCATCTCTATCGTGTCATTTAACACGCTCCTTCCGCCTTTGTTTCATGTGAACTGGCAGTGAACCGGTAGTTAGATCTAGACCAGTTCTCTCTAACAGAAATACAATACAAGCCACAGCTATAATATTGAATTTTCTAGTAGTCACATTTTTTAAAGTATCCAAAAAAAGAAAAAAGGTGGAATGAGTTTAATTGTGCATTCTATTTAATCCAAAATACCTAAATATTATCATTTCTGTACGTAATCACTATTTTAAAAATTATGAATATTTTACACTCTTGTTTTTTAAAACTAAATCTTCTAGCATCTAGTGTGTATTTTACACTCACAGCACATCCAATCCAGACTAGCCCTGTTTCAAATGCTCAATGACTACTGACTACCAAATGGAACTGCTCAGATCTAGACCAAGTCTGTGCTACAGTGTCTTGCCTTTCAAGATTCTTCCCAGGTTTCATTGATACTTGTCTTGCTTCTAACTTGTCTCCGCTCTGACGTTGTTTGAAAACTGATCCAGGGTCTGCAACTCTTTGCTAACTGTGGCCAAGCGTTAATTCTGCAGGGACACTGCCAGCCTGAGTGACTCAGGAGAAAGCAGCCAGAGAGCTAAGCACCTTTGCTCTCTCCATGACCAGCCCACCTTATTTTTCTTGATCCTTTGCTGCCCCTATGGGGCAACCAGCAGTACTGCACCACACTTTGGTTTCTTACCTCTGGGATTCCAGCACGACCACGCCACAGGAACACACAGAGGCAAATGCTTAGCAAGGCAAGCCAGTAAAAGTTGCAATAAGCCTGACGTATTTAAGAACGCTCCTAGTATTTAACCCACACCTGTGGCTTCCAGCCAAACAAAAGACAGGCATATGAGTTGAATATGTACCTGAGGTAGAGACACTCCTTGGAGAGAACAATCATGGGAGAAAGAAGGGCTGTTTATGCACAGGGAGACAGTTCAAGGGGCAGGAGTGCATGGAGGGATAGACACAGGGAAGAGGTAACTATTGGGAGGAAGCAGGGGGAGCTGCTGCATTGGGGTAAATTGTAGTCAATGTCATGAGACAACGTGTGTGTGAACTGCTATATGGAAAGTGAATTTGCTCTGTAAACTTTCACCCAAATCACAATTTAAAAAAAGAAAAAAAGAATGCTCCTAGTAACCATTCTTTTGCCTGGTAGTTAGTATAGCAGTTCTGGAAAGCACTGTGGCACCTATTCAGACTATCTACCCTAATGATTGATTTCAAGACTCTCATGGTGTCTTGTTTCCTAGATGGCACAAACGGTTTTGGCTCTACTGCTAACTTAAAGGTTGG